AAATGGTTTGAACTCATTCTGGTGAACACTGCATTGTCTCCCTAGCATGAAAAAATAGAAGGAGTTCGTAGGATCCAAAAACACAATAGATATTATGAAAGTGATAGGGAAGCAGACAATTCCTTATTGTCTTATCTTGAACTCTTGTATCGTTTTCATAATTTTGTTAGGTTTGATTTTGCTCTATCTTGTTTTGTTAGATTTTGTCTGATGGTACTGGCAGCTAATTTGAAGATAACAGGATGCATTATGGTAATCATTGCTGGTTTCTCATTATCTTTTGCTTTGAAGACCTATAGTGCTTTCGTTCTTTTGTTTAGATTGGTTTTATTCTGCTTTGTTTTGTTTTGTTTGATTTTAATATGTGTGATGGCATGGACAGCTATTTTAAAGAAAACTAGATACTTATTGTTTTTGGAGTGCTGTAATGCTTTCATTCTTTTGTTTAGATTGGTTTATTCTGTTTTGTTTTTTCCTGTCATCTTGTTCTGAAGTCCTATAATGCATTTATTCTTTTGCTTTGGTTGGTTTATTCTGTTGTGTTTTGTTTGATTTTATCATGTGTGATAGTATGGACGGCTATTTTGAAGAAAACAAGAGGCATTATGTTAGCCATTGTTGATTTCCTACTGTCTTGTTTTGAAGTCATGTAATGCCTTTATTCTTTTGCTTTGATTGGTTTTATTTAATTTTCTTGTGTGTGATGGTATGGACAGCTATTCTGAAGAAAATGAGACAGATTATGGTAGCAACTGTTGATTTTCTTTTGTTTTGAAGTCCTGTGTTGCTTGCATTGTTCTGTTTTATTTTACTTTATTCTCTTTAAAATAAAAAAATCAACAACTGGGATCTCATCCTATTAAAACACTTTTGCATAGTCAAAGAAATCACCAGTCAAATGAAAAGTCAACCCACAGAGTGTAAAAACATTTTAGCCAGTACTTTCTCAGACAAAAGGGCTAATATCTAGAATAAAAGAAGAATGGAAAAAACCTAAACCCAAACTTAAAGACCCAACCCAAAAATGGACATCTGCAATGAATATATGTTTCTCAGATGAAGAAATGAAAATGACAAATATATGAAAAATTGTTCAACATTACTGCTCATTTGAGAGATACAAATTCAAACAATGCTGAGATTCCATTTCATTACAGAAAGAATGGCTATTAGCAAGAATAAGGTCCTTAACAAATATAAGAGTGGCTGTGGGGAAAAAGTAACTCTTCTCCACTGCTAGTGGGATTGTAGACTGGTGCAACCACTGTGAAAATTAGTGTGGGGATTCCTCAAAAAACTAGAATTAGAGGCCTGATTTGACCCAGACCTTACCCTTTTGGGTATCTTCTTGGAAGAAATGAAAACATACCACAGTGATGTATGTACAGTTTGTAATGCTAAATCTTGGGAACAGCCCAAATAACCATCAACTGAGGAATGGGTAAAGAAGACATTTTTTATTTGTCTAATGGAGTATTGCTGTATAAAGAAGGATAAATTCAAGACATTTGTAGGTAAGAGTATGGTCTCAAAGTGTATCCATTTAAGTGAAGCAAATCATACACATATGTGTAAATATTGCATGGTCTCCCTGGTATGAGAAATTGAAAGAGTAAATAAGAACCAAAATACAAATGGATACTGTGAAATAGAAATCATTCAAAAGGAAAAAGGAATTCAGGAGGAAGAAGGGGAAAGGAAGGATAGGAAAGCAAAAATATGATAAAAGAAGGAAAAAAGAAAAGATTTTGTAAATAAGAAAGAGAAGAAGTGTTGAAGAGAGGGGAAGTGATTGGGAAAAAAGAGGAATCAAGGTACATAACATACAGGGACAAATTCTCTATGATGAATATGATCATTATGTATATCTAAATTTTATGGATAAACAATAGAAATGTTCTCTATTTAATGGCGAATGTTATCATATGCTCCTTTATTCTGCAACATGGTTTCCTTTATTCTTTGAACATACTCGTAATTTCTGTCTTGAAGTATTTCTCTGCTACATTCATCATCCACACTTGATCTATTTCCTATGCATGGCCACATTTTTGTTTCTTTGCATATCTCATAGAGTTTTGTAAAACTCTGGATATTTCAGATAACATAACATAACTACCCTTGATTTTGATTCACTCCTTTCCACCCAGCATTGCTTATATTTGATCATTTGCTTGGGCCTACATTATAGGATCTATTATCCCACAGTATGTGGCTACTAATATTTCAACTTAGTCACTCTTTTAAAAATTCTTGTTTTTCTTTGAGAACTGGCTTCCAGGAGCCATCTCTGTCAGCATGGTTTAGTGGTGAGACAAGAGTTGGTCAGAGGCTGTGTTTAAATGCACTGGGTCAGTAATCACCATCTGCTGATGGATCTGTGTGTGACTTTAAAGATTAGATGAAGTAAGATTATACACCAGGCTTTACTTATCATGTACCCAGTCCCACCACTCAGCCAAGAAGTAGATAGCTAGAGACCTCTTTTTCTCCCACGTGGACCTGCACATGTGCAGACTTCTAGCTCTCCCAAGATATGTAGCAGCTTATCAAGTGCAGTTTTGCTCTCCAGATCTCCCTGTTAAAACCCAGGTAGGGTGCTGTTCTTTTGTTTGCCCAGCTGGTATCACAGTCTTGCTATGATTTGGCCCTTACTTGCAGTTTGTCTCTGGAGATTGCTGTTGCTTTGTGACAGTGATCTTGGACTTGCGCTTTTGATTCTCAGCTTCAGATCAAGTCAAGACAGAGGAGAAGGGCCAACTCTCTCATGTTTTCCCCCAGCCTGGTTGGAGAGGGCGTGACGTGGCCAGCAGCCAGCATGTCCCTCTCCTTTGCTTTGCTTTGCTCCCCCTTGCACTCTAAAAGAACCCTAGGCTGATGGGCAACAAAGTCATCCCCTGCAGGCAAGGCTGCATTCCTCAACTTGGCATTCCTGTCCACTGTCCTAGAACTTTTGTTCCAGGAGAAAGACAGAAGAGAATAGTCCCAAACTAAAGTGACACAAAATTCTATTTTTTCCTATTAAGGTTCAGCACTTTTTTCTTGAAAAAGCACTTTTGAAATTCACTTGTATCAATGGTCAATTTCCAGAATCACAAAATACATATTTTTTTAATTGTATCTTCATTTTCTGGGAGAAAGAAAATCAGTCTCCTCATGAAGCCACTTGGGAAATCCTACACATGATCTTTCCTCTTTTAAAAATCTCCCCTTATGCTTAACATATATTTCCAAGACAAAACCATTGGATAGATATTATTTTCTTTTGATAGATGAGATGACAGAACCATAAGTGTTAAAACCTGATTTCCCAAGGTCACCATAGTCGGTAAGAGACTGAATTTGGCCTGGGTTCTAAAAGTTCTAAACCAAGTGTTGAGAGAATATCCAGTGCAGTTCAGTGCCCTGAAGGTTCCTGTGCAAGAAGAGAAATACACTGCCAGGTAAATGCTGAAGAAAAGGAAGATGGGGAAAGTTGTGTTGAGTTTGTGCCTCTCTCAAAGCCCTGAGTCACGAAACTTGAGAAATAGTTGGAGAAAATGAAGAAAATAATTCCATTTGTAGGATGACCATTGAGGACATAAATGCAGTCTTCCCAGAAACTGAATTAGACAAGAAATATCCTTTCCCGGTCTGTTCGCAGTGCAGAATTTATAAAATTGAGTCTGGGAGAATGCTCTGGCCCTTATATTACAAACTCTGAAGTTTTAAAAATGACAATATAGTTCTGGGAAAAGAAAGATAGCTACTAAGTAAGAATACTTTCCCTACACCCCACTCACAGGGCTGAGGCTCTAGCTCAGCAGTGACAGCCTGAGAACCCTGCTGTGCCTGCCCAGCTTGTGCTTGTCCGGCAGAGATTCCAGACCAGGAGAAGCAAGGCAGGAAAGCCAGAAGCTGCCACCCCACCCCACCGCGTCCATAAAGCTGACGCTATGCACTGAGGAAAGTTGCCCACTGTTTTTGGCCTCTCAAGCCGTGTGGCTCAGAGGTTCTACCCAGGAGGAAAAGCTGGTCCCAGGAAGAGAGTGCTACAGAGTTCTCACTGCAAGACCTGACTTTATTTGGAACAGAATGTGGAGAATTGAATACTAAGGGCTGTCTTACAAACAGTGGAGATTTTGGTGGCCAGCATGAGGCACAGGCAGGGAGCATTAGGGAAAGAGACAGGTAAGAAACAGGCTTGAGATGGGTATGGTGGTGCACACCTGTAATCCCAGCACTGAGGCATTTGTATAAAGGTGTTCTGTGTGCATGAGTTTTCATTTCTCTTTTAAAAGATATTTTGGGACAAATATTAAGTGCCTACTTTGTGTCAGGTCCTGAGCCAGGCATCCTTGCTGAATGCTGTCCCCACAGCATGAGCATCTGCTTAGAAAGTCAAAATTAAGGAAAGGAGCATTGGAGCAACCAGACACAAGGAGATGAAAGCAGTGTGGAGGCAAGTTCCTCTGAGGCACAAGAGCCCCCCACCCCCACCCCAGCAAGAGCCCCCTCCAACAGATCCCTAGTAAATGCTTGCTTTAAAGCACCTCGATGTTGCCTGAGAGTTGTCCTCCACGCTGCCATAGACGGGAACCTGACAGACAGTTACATACTTTGAGTGCTATTCAGTAAAAGGCGCAAAACGGCCTGTCATAACAGATACCGATATTTGAGTTAGAAAAGACTTTTATTTTTCCCAATTCATGGGGTTGCAACAAGCCCACGAAGATCTTAAAGATACAAACGTTTCTGCCCTGAACATGTAAACGTTTAAGACATCCCTGGTTTTGGATTCCTGAGTCAGAATCTGCCATCACAACCTCGAAGGCCAGAGAAGCAACAGGAGGACCCCCCCCCCCCCCAGAGGAGTGAGCAGACAGCGGACAGCGCAACGGGTGTGGAAACGCGACACCTGGCACCGCAGCCACAGAAGCAGCGCAAGCCAGGCGCGTCCCAGCCGACTGCATCTCCATGGCCCGCGGGACTCAGGCCGGGCCAGCTCTCCGCCGCCCTCCCTAGTCCTCGTCGGTGCCCAGCTCGGCGAGGCCTTGGCTGATTTCACGGAGGTCATCGATCTTTCTGTCCAGCCGGCTCAGGAAGCTCTTCAGGTCAGACCTCAGGGGACGCCGCCTGCGCTTGCTCTTGGAAAGGTCCACCCTCAGGCACCGCACTTCGCCTTCCAAGTTGTGATCGCCTCTCTCCGCTGCCCCCAGCTCCTCAGAGACACGGTCACACTCCCATCTGAGCTGAGGGAGGGCTTCGGTTTGTTCCCGGAGATCTTTCACCTCTGTCTCCTTCGCCCGGAGTTTGTACTCCAGCGCCTCAATTGTCCTCTTCAGCTGGGTGGCGCCCTCCAGCTCCCCGTCCGTCTCGCGGCGCTGCTCTTCCAGCTCCTCGATCCGCTGGCGCAGCCGCTCGTTCTCCTCCCTGCAGGCGCAGACCTGCTTCTTCCACTGCTCCACGCTGGCCGCCGAGTCCTGCAGCGCCGAGCTCAGCTGCGCGTTGCTGTCGCGCAGGGTCTGCAGCTCCAGCTCCCACTTCCCCAGCTGCGCGGCACTCGGAGTCACAGCAGCCTTCGGCTTCTCCTCCGCCTTGAGGCGGGTGTCGGCGGGATCTGCGGGAGGGGCCATTCCCTCGCCCGCCCCATCCGCCCTGGATGCTCGGGAATGATTATTCGAGGTCCCCAGTTGCTCCCGGGATTTTTCTCTGGCTAGTTTGGTAGCTTCTTTGACCTCTTGGAATTTCTCTGCAAACTTCGTCAGCTGCTGATCAGAAGAAAACCCCAGCCCAAACATTGTGTTGGCTTTGCGGTCCGCCCACTGCCCAAACCTCTGCGACGTTTTGGTGAAGGACATGTTCGTTGTGATCGTGCTGTGTATGATCACCCTGTCTCCGTCCACACTGATGATCCGATAGCTGTTCCTTGTGGCATCGTAGAAATAGGAAACGGCCACTGCCTGTCGGCTCAGAGGCACCCAGATCATCTTGGTTCTGGGGTCAATCTGAAAGACTTGCGCTCGGGTCGTGAAGATGGGCGGTTCTCCCATCTCCAGAGTGCTCGGGCGGCCGCTCCCACCCGGGCCCTGGCCGGTGCTCCGCCTGCTCTGCAGCCGCTCACTGCGCGCGACCAGGGCAGCGAAGCGCACTGGGCTCCGGGTGGACTCTCCTGGAGCACAGCAGACTGGGTCCCGCCTCCGGGAGGCGGGGTAGGGGTGGAGGTGGGGTGTCTCCCGCTCTCTCCCGATCCCTCTGTCCCTGCCTGCCTGCTCTATCCCCATTCTCCATTCTCTTAATTGCTCTTGTGAAAATGCCACGGAATTGTATAACTGGACCATATGGTAAATGCATGCTCCGTTAACCTGTTTTCGAAAGTGATTTCAACATCTTACATCCCAAGGATAACGCATGAGTTCCAGTGCTTTTGGTATCCCCAATACCTGTGTACTGAAAACTACAGACTGGTGCTGAAAAGAAAATCCAATACTTAAATTAGTGGAAGGGTGTAGCGTGCTGATGGATAAGGAGACACAGTTAAGATGTCAGTTCTCAAATTGCCTACAGATTCAGCACAATCCCTATCAAACACCATCAAAACTTCTTGTAGTAGTGACCGATAAGATCCTACAACTGATTTGAATAAGAACCTAGAATAGCAAAAGCGACTGTGCAAAACAAGAATAAAGTTGGAGCACTAATTAGTAACTGATTTTTAAAGCCTATCATGAGGCCACTGTAAACATTATAGTGTGGTATTGGTGTAAACATAAACAATTCCAATTCAGCAATCCTAGACAAAGACCATGGCTCTATACTCAGCCCATAAGGCCTTACCAGCAAGCCCTTAGATTCTGCCTTAGCCAGAACATCTGCGTCTTCAAGCACGTTCTGCACAGTGGCCCAGACTATCTTCTCAAGCTTTTTTTCCTCGATTATGGCCATTTTTGTTTCCTTGATGATGGATGAGACTTCTAATACAAACATGAACAAGTATTGGTGCCTCTTTATTTTAAAATTTTATAAGAAAGAGTCTATTTTGTGAGTGTGTGAGCTTTTAACTGAAAATAAGGCAGTTACAAAGTAAATCTTTTGCTTGGTAGCAGTCAATGCATATGGAAACACTGAAACCCACACCAAATCATGTGGGATCTTTATTATTATTATTATTTTCTTCTCAAGGTAGGCAGTCCTGTAGGTTATGCAGTTCAAGCTCAGTATTCGTTATGCTGCAGGTTATTTCCGCCTCAGTGGTGTCCACCTTTGGGACAGTGGATATTTCAAAAACTTGGAACTCTTGGTTCCTCTGCACAAGACAAGCCGCTGGTAGACAACATTAGCTCTCTGGTTTCCCAACTCAGCTCTGATAAAGTGGACTGGCAGCCATGCTGGTCAGTCCGTTTAGTCAGCAGACTCAGGTTATCTTAGAGAGGGCATGGAGGCATGGTTTGGTTAGTTTCATCACCAGGATGCATCAGGTGCAGACATAAACCAAACACCTCTCACTGTTGCACTCTACTGCAGTAGCTGTGGTAACGCTAGCCTGCTTCAGCCCCGAGGGATGTTAGTGAGGAACACGTAGCGGGCCTGCTGTTTGGCGAGCCTGTCCGGCTGTGCTGGGTCTCATATGGTGCAACAGTGCTTACACTGAGCAGCTGCGTGACAGACTTTCCCTACTGAACTATAATTGAATAGATACCAAAAGTAGAACGATAAATGTACTGTAATAGATGACAAGGTAAGTGGTGAATTTTCTGCTTTTTGTTTTACTTCAAGAGATAGTGAGAGGAATTTTTTAAAAAGATTTTTAAACTGTAGTAAGCATATGCTCCATTTACTTTGAGAGAAGCCAAAGTAGCTAGGATTGGCTTGGAGCACATGCTCTGTTTCACGTTATGGGTGAGGAGCTACACTTTTTTTTTTTTATTGTCACTTAACATTCTCCAGCCTGGCAAATATGGGGTTCACTAGGATTTAGTGCCTGGTGTTTTCTTTTGGGAAGAAGTGGGAGTGAATACACTGAGGATGAAAGGGAAGCAGGAGAAGAAGACAGGAGTGTGCATGAGTGTGCATGTGTTGGAAATTCACCATCACCCACCTGTGTCTACCAAGGGGCAGGTGTGCTGTGTATGTCTTTCATGACTGCAGTGTGCGTGTATCCTTTTTCCTTCATATCTTCTAAACTTATACTAAAAGAATTCATCAATACTGTCTTGTTCAGGTGGCTAAGTGTTGTATTTCTTTTGCTTATCCCGTGCTCTTGGGTTCTACAATATTTCTATAATTATGCAAGAAAAATAATGTTTGACTGTTATCTTTCATATAGAACTATATTATGGAAATTTTTAATCAGTTTTAAGAGATGTATTCTGTTTATGAAAGCACAATAAAATTGCATCTGATAGACTACAGGCAATAAAGCTAACAATAAACCTTATTTAACAAACAAACAAACAAAAAACCCCAGTCAAACATGCCAATGTAGATTTTCTGTATGCTTCATAAATTTAATGAACTGGACTTTCTTAAATAAAAACAATCTGATTTGTGAAAGATACTGTTAGGAGAGAATAAAAGAGTAAAGAGTAGAAGAAAGTATTTTCAATAATATAGCTGATAAAATATTTGCATTTGGAACATATAAAATGTAATCAAAACTCAATAATAAAACAAATACAACAATTAAAATGAGCATATTTTATTTATTTAGATGTTTGTTGTCCAGTATAGTAACCACTATGATAGAGTGGCTACATGTTTATATTGAGTTCTTAAAACGTGGCAAGTTCAAATTAAGATGAATCAGATGGGCATGGTGGTGCCTGCCTGTAATCCCAGCACTTAGGAGGCTGAGGTAGGAAGGTCATCATGAATGTGAGGTCAGTCTAGGTTACATAAACAAGTTCAAGACCAGCCTGTATTATAATCATAGTGAGACTCTGTCTCAAAAAAAATGTATCATGAATGTAAAGTACACACATTTTGAAGACTTAATATGAAAAAGAATGTATAGTATCTCAGTAAATGTTAATGATTACTATAGAAATGATAATATTTTGGATAAATTTCATTGAATAAATATATATATATTATCATGCATTTCAGAAATGTTGTATGAATGGAAGCAGACATATATGACCTTTGAAATCTGATGTTTTTACTCAGCATAATGTCCAAGTTTTTGTGTGTATTGGTAGTAGTTTGTTTCTTTCTATTGTGGAGTTTAACATTCACTTATTATAGGACATTTTGGTTGTTTCCAGCTTGAGTCATTACAAACAATACTGCTTTGAATTATCATGACCGGACTTCATGTGGACATAGATTTCATTTGTTTGGGATGAGTGTTTAGCAGAGTGACACGTGGGTAGATGGTAAGCATATATTTAGTTTTGAAATAAACTGCCAAATTTTCAGGATGATTGTACCATTTCACATTCCCGCATCAATGACAAGGGATCTGGTCAGTTCCTCCCCAGCACTCAGGATGGTTACTGTTTTCTATTTGAGCTCTTGTACTATATGTATGTAGCACTGTTTCATCAAGGTCTTAATATTTTTATTGGGCATATGTATGTTTTCTTTGGTGAAATGCTGTTTCATATGTTTTGTTGATATTTTTCTTTTCTTTCTTTCTTTCTTTATTTTGGTCTTTTTGAGACAGGGTCTTCCTATCTCATTCAGGCTGGCTTTGAACTTATCTGGCCTAGGATGACCTTGAACTCACAATGATCTTTCTGCTTCAGTCTCCTGAGTGCTGGGATTACAGGCATGTACCACCATACCTGGCCAACTTTCTAATCAGAATTTTTTTAATGTAGCCTTGTGAAGTTTTTTATATTTTAGATGTGAGTTCCTTGTCCAATTGGTGGTTAGCAAATACCTTGCTTACCCAGTCATACCTTGCTTTTTCATTCTTTTAATGAGATCTTAAACAAAGCAAGTCTTTTTTGTTGTTTTGTTTTTGTTTTTTTGGGACTGGGTCTCACTACACAATCCAGGCTGGCCTTGAACTCACTAGGTAGCCCAGCTGGTCTTCTTGAACTCATAGTGATCCTCCTGCCTCAACAAATCTTTAACTTTGAGGCTTAGTTTGTTTGAGGCTTAATTTGTGGACTGTGCTTTTGGTATTTTCATATATAAAAATCCTTTGCCTATCCTAGTTCATGAAGATTTTCCATTTTCTTCTAAAAGGTAAGCAGTTTTAGCTTGATGTTTGTATCTACAACCCATTTTGAGTTAATTCTTATATGTGGTGTAAGGTAAGGGTCTTTTCCTATCTCAGTACCACTTTTGGAAAATATTATCTTCTTCTCATTGTGATTTCTTACTTGTCCCTAAGGATTTTACATTTTTTCATTTTTTCTACTTACTTGGGTTTGTCTTCCTCTCTTTTTCTATTTTTGACGCATAGAAACTGAGGTTATTGATTTGGTTGGTCTCTTGTTAATAAAGTTGAGTGAGCTACATTTCCCAGCATACGGCCCTAGCAGCATCTCACATCTGATGATTTGTGTTTTCATTTAGTTAAAATACTCTTAGGAATGCCCGTTGGTCCTGGAGGCAGGCAGCAGCCGATCAGAGCTGAGGGGAGGAGATGAAGAATAAAAGGAAGGACGGGAACAAGAGCCCCTCTTTCTGTGCAGGGAAGGAGAGAGGTAAAGAGAGGGGATGCTCGGAAGCCTGGGCACCTGGCAGCACAGCCTTCACTGGGACAGCACTGGGACAGGATAAAAGCCAGGGATACTGTTTCAAGGAGTTCTCTAAGCCCAGGGGTGGTAATCCATGCCTGTAATTCCAGCACATGGGAGGCTGAAGTATAAGGGTTGCAAATTCAAGGCTAGCCTGGGTTACATGAGACTCTGTCTCAAAAACAGAACAACACAAAACAAGTTTATGAATCTGTGGAATTTGGCCAGTTTGCCCAGCTCCGTGATGTTACTGCAGTAGGCATCTACGAGCCAATCAGTATATCCATTTGCCCTTCCTGATCCAGGCCCTTAGAGAAAGGAGAGGGAAGAAATGGACTGGCTGGAAACACCTCCAAAGAAGTCATCAAGGCTGATACCTGCAAGGGCTAAACAGGAGGACCCAGAACTCATCTTTTCCACAATGAAGCAAAATAACAAATGTGTAATTTCTTTGTGTGAATGACTAAGGGAAAGCCCTGGAACTTGGTGCCTTCCTCCTACGTTCAGCCAGCAGGGCTATTACCAGGGAAATCTGAGCAGACAGAAATATCTTAATACGCAGCCTTGAAGTTCAAAGTAGGAGTTGTAAACTGAGGCAGAGATGACATGTGTAGAGGCCTAACTTTTGATTCACAAAACATAGGATTTTCTCAATTTCAGACTATGGATGAAGGACTCAGGGGGTGACCACTGCAGCAAACAATAGATTTAAGAGAGGCGTGCGGCAGTGGTGTGTGCCAAGTGGATGGTAGATGCGGGGGTCTGGGCCCCATCACTTGTCTGATGCACTGGGGGGGAGCGAGTTCCTATGAAGCATTTGTCTGCAGATCTTGAGGGCATTTCCTCAGCTATATGGGAGTCTCCAGCGGCTTCAAACTCCTAAACCCCCTGAACACTGCTTGAAGGAAGTCAAGAGAGGCTGTTTTCCCGAAGTGCCTGAAGGGCCTGAGGATACCCTTCAGCGCTCAGGCAGGAGTGGTAGCTTTCCCCACAGTTGCCAACATGAATGGAAGTTCACAGCTTCATTAAGTTCCAGGCTTCATTAAGACCCTGGACACAAGCAGTGAGACTAACCTGGGGCAGTAACCTCCTTCCCACCAGGAGCATAGCAAAAGTGCTCCTTGAGAGTGAGTAGGGAGAGCCCTGGGTTTACTGAACTTACAGATGAAATGACTGAGAACAGCCTGAAGTGACTTCGTTTATGCAAGTGAAGTTGCTACCTTCCATTTGGTAGGATGTGAGATTGTGATAAAAAATTTTAAAATAATGTACTAAGTATTTTCATTTTATGTATTTACATAAAAATATTGAGTTTACATACTGGAATTTTGTGGCCTGAATATGCACACATGTTGCAAAAATTTCTTCAGAATATTATGGACATAACTTTTAAAATACCAAAACAACTTAGAGACTGAAGTTTTGAAAATTACATGTTGTGGCTTATATCTAGATGTCCCCACAAAGTCTCAAGTTGTTATATGTGTGGTTTTGGAATGTGGCTGGCCTTAGGGTATGTGCTGCTGGGATTAATGGCGCCCGCCGTATCCTGGGTTTGAGCGCTACTGGCCCTAAAGCGGGGTGGCTTGGGGCAGAACCTAAGAGACAGAAGGGGGGCTGCTGTGGTGGTCTGCTGCTTCACTGAGTTGCTGCCTTCTGTCTGTCCTGCTTTGCTGTACAGTTTTTCTTCTGTGATGCCTCCCTGCCCTGGAGCCAGCTGATTACGGACCAAACCTCTACAAAACTGTGAGCCAAAACAGATCTTTCCTCCTTTAGTTGTGTTGGGTATTTTGTCTCAGCAATGAGAAAAGAACTTGGGAATTTCTCTTGCAACTATCTTTGGTACTATTAGAAAGCCAATGAGAAATATCTAATTATGTAATGTTTTAAACCCAAGTAGTATTTACCAGCAAAAGTTCTGAATAGTTATTTTTAAAATTTATATGTTTCTTAAGTTAAAATGCGATTTGTGTATGGTTCTTCTCCCTTTCTGGGAAGATTCAACTACAATGGGGGAAACAGATACCTAAGCACAAAGATAAGGAATTCATGCAGGGGGCATTAATTGCAAGAGTGGATAAATCAGAGAACTTTCTAGAATAAACTGCATTGGATAGACCTCGGTCTTTTGGTAGGGAGGCAAGAGTCTATGCAAGTTTCCCCACTGCAGTGAAGTTCATTGTTGATTACTTATTGATAGGTTTTTAGCCACATAAATCTGCCAGTCACTATGGTGGAAGTCCAACATGGTGAGAAGAACATAAAAAGACACCTTGTCTTTTTCCTCCGGTGCTCCAGACCCGAAATAGACTTCCTGGCTTCCTTCTCACTAGTGCCAAAGGCACTCCACTCCCTAAAGCATCACTCCTGCTCCATCATCACCAGCTAGTTTAGCACCACTCCGATGAGAGCTAAAATAAGCAGCTGCATCCCTTTATTAGAGCTGAGAAAGCTTCAGAACCCCCTCTCTCTGCAGCCTCTTCTGTGCCCCCCCTCATTAAAGGCCTCTTCACACTTTGTCTCCTTATTGCTCTCATATGCTCTGCACTGCTTCAGACTGGGTGCCAAAAAATACTCAATCACTTATCTATAAATTGTTTCTAAAAAAGATTGAAAAGGATATATTGCCTCCCAACTTCCCTCCTTTTATCTTTGATCTATACACCTCATGTATCATTTGAGGTTTTTTTTTTTAACAGTAAGAGAACAATACGTTTTCTTGAGTAATAAACACCAGAACTTTCGAAAATATTTTCCTGACAATCCAAGGACTCTATTCATCATACCCTATTAAGTCGTAGTTCTCTCCCAGTTTTCCTCTGTCCACAAAAGGATCAGCATGTAAGCTATCAAGAGAAAAGGGAATGATGCTGAGCAGGAAAGGGATAGACAGGACATGGGGAAATGGGCCCATTATAACTGGAAAACGTAGAGCCTGACTTTTCTCATTCTGACATTCCTGCTATGGAAATACTAGAAGCACAAAACAGATGACCTTAGCCTTAGAACTGGGCTGAGAGTGCTGCAGCAAATAAGATTAGAGTGAAAGGAAAATCAGACATTAGGTTAAAGCATTTAAATTCATGTCTGGGCTCTGCCCATAGCTCTGTGAATGTGAGAAGTTCACCAGAATTTTCCAGGTCTCAGGTTCCCCACTAGAAAATGTGTGGGTTGGAGAATACACATTTTTTGGGGTCCTTTCAGCACTAAAATTCCACTTCTAGTCTTAAAACTTACACATATCAGAAACTTTATTAAACATGTCAACTATATCCATGGTAGCTCTCTTTCTGGTCACCTTGAGATCTCCATACTCTTTTCAACTTGGTTACCAGCAGTCCGGAAGCTCCCAGGCAAAAAAGTGTTTTGGGACCCAGAGGCAGAAACATCTTCTTAGGGAAGAAGGCCAAGTGATTGCAGCAGCAATGACAGTTGTAGATCTAACCTCCAAACTGAACTGGAAAACCAGGTGGCCCCACTTGCAGCCTTTCGGGCTTGAAGGCCAGGCTGAGGTGAACATACTTCCTTAACCAGTATGGGGCCGACCATTGTGATCCGGGCCATCAGCCTGCAGCCAGCTGTGACTGTACAGCCTTTCACCTCCACAGATGAGTCGATGCCTCCTATGGAATAAAGAAGGGTGGAGAGACAGAGGTATTTTAGGAAATCAGAGGGAAATCCAGTCCTCCCTCATCCCTGGAATCCCAGGTGCCAGAACTTCTAGGGGTCTACTTAGATGTCTGGTTTTCTGACTCCATCATATGTTCATTTTAATTTACCTCCAGAGACATTAAGTTTTCCATGATAGCATCGAGTTGTACCATGGGGACATGGCAGAGAAGGAGCACTGACACAGAATCCCAGAGCCACACAAGTTGGGCAGGAGAGGGCTGGCACAGCAGGAGCTGGAAGGGCAAACAGACCATTAAAGACATGGCTTGTTTAAGAAGTCTTTCCTTGCTGTTTTTTCTCCCTCAATCTTTTCTGCTGATAATAATCTACACCCATTACTGTGGCCTCCTCGTCCTCTCCAGCTGATGTTTGCCTGTCAGGACCACATCTATATGATTTCCAAAGTCTAAAGGACGCAGTCCTAGAATCATTGTCTACAAGAATAAAAATATGTTCAAAGTAGAATGGCAAAGGAATGGAAGAATATCTAGCTACCTAAATGAATTTGGTATTTTCAAAGAGCTGAAACCTGACTGGAGAGGGAAAATGAATGGAGGCTGAATACCTAAAAATGGGGTTAGAGTAGGAGGAGGGGTAGCAAAGGAGGCAGAAAGACCAAAGTCCAGGAGATGTAAGCCAGTTTGGTGGATCTGAAGAATTCAGAATAAGCAGGTACAGGCTAATATTCAGCTAGTAGGCACAGGTAAGGATGAACTGTTTTTTTTTGTTGTTGTTGTTGATGGTCAGTACCATCTCGTTTGTCAGAAATTCTGAATACAGTGATACTTCAGTTTGCGAACATAATTCTTTCCACAATTCTGGTCACAGACAAATTGGATGAGGAATGAATCAGATTTTCCCCATAAGGTCAACACTGAACCTACTGAATTTAGTTTGATTCTCATCCAATTGCTTTGTGACCAGAAGTGTGGAAAAAATTGTTTGTAAACTGAAGTACCACTGTACTAGCCCCAGTGAGATGGAAGAGAAAGAAATGGAGCTGCAAAGACAGGCAGGATCAGATTACTATTGGGCTTGAGGCAAATTAGGAAACTGAGCTGTTGTCACACAGCCATAAGGAACCAATAATTGCTAGACTGATAATTCTCCTATCCTGCTCAGAAATCTACAGACATCTGACTGCCCAGTTTACACTTCAGCCTCCACTGATGTCCCCTAGTTCTGATTCACACTTAACATTTCTGAAAAAGACAACTGGACTGGGAGAGCCCTTTTGTGTATGTTCAACTTGGACCTAAGCCAAACAAGAACATAAACGAGAAAGAAACAGTCTCTTCAGGTGTTCACGGAGTTCCTCTCAGCACTATTTCCCTTTTCCCTGGGTACCTGTGGTCTCTTCTTGTTTCCAGAATGAAGCTATGCTCTCTCTGTTGTTGCACAGGGTATCCCCACAGTAGTTACTGTAGGAGACGGCCACCAGGCCAGGGGGTGGAGAGTGTTGGATAAACGTCGCCGACTCTCCCACATTATAGATGCAGCCCTTTGTGGCCAAAATGGCCGTCTTCCCTCCTGCTGTGAGGACAGTGAAAGAAAGTGAACAGTGAGTCTAATGCTTGGCCTGACGAGAAACAGCAGTGATACGGTTATAATCATCCTCTCTCCCATTCAACTGGCCTTTCTCATTTTACCTGCTGTAATCATTATTATCGTTTCCTGGCAAAGTGCATTTTGCTCACAAGTCTCAACTTGCTCTGTGGTCCAGTTAAATGAATTGCTCGGGTCCTCCTCTATAGTCAGGGATACACTCTTCTGACACAGCAAATGCTGTGCCACTGGGAAGAAAAAGAAACAAAGATGAACACTTGCCATTATCTGGGGCCAAGGTCATTCTTTTCTTTTTTTAAAAAACCCCAAATCCATTTTCTGTGACCCAGCTGGTCTTCCCCCATGTCCCATGTACGTACAGGTCAAGAAAGAGGATCCCAGGAGGAAGAGGAGCAGTAGATCCTGGAAATGACCCATGACTTCTTGTAGGATGGGAAAAGCTGATGATATTTAAGAATCCAATTTATTAACCAGATAAAGATTGAATCCAAGTTTTCAGCAAGTACTGACTGACTTTGAAGTAGATTTACGATAGATAAAACTATAACTTCTGAAGTCTATCTTTAACTGGGGACTTTGACCAAATAAATAAGTTTATCAGGATTTAGTAATTCCCAGATCCAACCACTTGTTAACTAAGACTGAGAAATTCAGCAACACATACACTTTAATATCTGGATCCAAGAATCTGAGTCCAAAGACCCTATTTCCCAGGACTCAGGAGTCCAAGTTAAAACCAGTACCCTCTAAAGGACTCAGTATCTTAGTCCCTGGCCCCTAGCTATACCAGAACCTTGATTACTACAGTTCACACCTATCCTACTTAGAAATGCAGCAGTTTGCACTTGGTTCCAGCTGTCCTCAGGACAGAAGATTCTGTGGTTACAGTATTTTCCTGCAACCCCCAAAACCTGGGCCCCAGCCCACTGTCTCTAAAATCAAGGTCCAGATCCACAGTGATCTGCCCTTAGGTACAAGGGTCCAGGCTCAAACGCTTCCTCCTTTAGACCTAGAGATCCAGGCTTCCATTCTTCCCTCAAATACAGAATTAAAAATCAGTCCCTTCTGAGACCCAGGGATCTAGGGTGCCACCTCCTTCCTCAGACCCAGGGGTCCAGGACCTCAATGCCAAGGGTCAAGGACTACAATACCATATCCCTCAGACTCAAGGCTCCAGGTAAGCTCTCCACCCTAAGACTCAAGGGCCCGAGCCGTTCTTTTCTCAGCTGCATCAGTCCAGCCTCCAGGTTTTAGCCCCTCCCCCCCACCTAGGGATATAAGCCTAGCCCCTCCCCCTTCAGATCCAAAGATCAAGGCCCCAGTCTCTCTACCCTCAGACTCAGGGTCCAGACCCTAGATCAGCGAGGAAGAACTTCTAGAACTTTCCATGATAACATCCAGCTGCAACACCTGAGCCTTAGGTTAACTACCACTGCCCTAGATCCTACTCCCTCAGACCTAGCCCTCCTCCCTCAGCTACAGGGGTCCAGGAAGAGAAGCTTTCCTCCTCTCAGCCCACCCTTCTACTGACCTAGGCTTTTAGGCTCCTAAATATCCCAAAATGACCCAGCTCATGGCTCTTAATCCCCGGGGTACAATCCCAGTCCCTCTTTTTTCAGACAAGAGTCCAGGCCCTGGGATCGCTACCTTCCAGGCCCTCGCGCACTATTTCTGTAAGATCCCCCAGTCTGGGTCCCAGCTCACCTCCCACAAGACATTCAGGCCCCATCTCCTCCCTCGGCCAGACCTCAGTCTTTCTCCCTGAGAAACAGGGTTCAGGCCCTAGCCTTACTTGTTTGGACCCATTCGTCCAGACCACAGTTCGCCTCCCTCACTGTAAGGACTCCGCGCCCCTGTCCTTTCTTCTGGTATGGGAGTCTTTTCTAGGGCCCGCTTCCCTCATTTAGGACACTAAGCCTTGGCCTTTTCTTTCCTCTTATCTATAAAATTGGGTCCCTTTCCTCTACCCCACCTCTTTCCCCCAGCAGCAAAATTCTTCGTGGGTGCCACAGGAACTCGCCAGAATCTCACGACTCCAAATATAAGTTCTACGCTCTCGAGGCCTCCCTGGCTGTCTTATGGCTTCCAGAGGCACGGAAGGCGGGGCCAAGATCAGGCGATAGAAAACTTGAGGTTCCATTGGTTGGTGCTAAAGTAGTGGATGGTTTCATTGGATGAGCCTGGAGAGTCGCTGCTTCTCATTGGCCACTGAGAAGCCAATCAGAATTGAGCCAGATGGCGCTCATGCGCTACGACCTGCAGGTGCAAAAAGTGCGCATGTGCATAATGCGGGCTCAGGCCCCGCAGCCCAACAGGAGGCTCGCTAGTTTTGCAGCTGAATACTGGTCATGCAGGAAGTGCGGTACATCTAAGGACCTGGCTTCTCCCCTTGGAGGTATCCTGTCTTTTCACATTAGAAGGTTAAAGCTTTGATCATTACTACTGAACTGACATGGAAAGTAGAACCTCACAAGTTTTTGGTTTGCCGTGCTTGCCATGCGTTCCTGGTCTTCCTATGCATGGGTCCTGTAGACATCTAGTAGCGTACGTGTCCTCCTCAGTCTTCATATGCAGCAGTGCCTACTTAGCCCTGGCTTAGTGCTCTGGTCACACCATCGCACCAGTGTCCGCCAGGGTCTTTTGAAAGAGGTGAGTGCCCTCTTAAGTGGCACTTAAGGCCTCTCTAAATTGTATTCACAAGCAATAACCAACTGATAGCACTGCTGCATCGTATCTAATCTACTTATCCTTGTCAGTATCGTGAAGAAGAAACATTGTTCATATTTGGTGTGCATGGATGAGAATTATACTTCATATGTGAGTTTTCTTTGTGTACAGGAAGGATCCACTTTGTGTGCTTTAATAATTGGTACTCTCCTGAGGGTTTTGGTTTCAGTTTTAATAGAGAAAATGTCTCTATAAGAAAAAGGATTGACAGAGCTCTTAATTTTTATGTAGAAACATGTTTAGAACTTCCAATGGTAAAAAAAAAAAGAAGTTTAAGGCCAGTTACTAAAAATATTGAGATAATGACTTCGTTAACTTACTTCAGGGACAATATTATTCTCTAAAGAGTCCCCAGAAATGTTTCTAAACCTAAAAATTGATTTAAGACAAAACCTTGTCTATGCAATTATGTGGTAGCCTTAGTGTTTTGTATTTTTTTGGTATCCTAAGATTCAATACACCAGCAATAGGTATGTGACTTACTGAGGGGAGGGAAAGTAATTCAGCTTTATTTTTTTTTATTTTATTTAAGAGGAAAAAGAGAAAAACACAAAACAAAACAAAGCAGTGTAAGGGTACACGTAATACAGAACTACAAAAAAAAATAACAGTAAGAAATCACCTGTTAATAGATTACATATTATCATCTTGAAAATAGTTGCTCAAATCACAGTATCAAAGAATACAAGGTGGACATTCAAACAGGGAGACTGCAAACAGCTGTGTTCAATGATCCAAAAACATTGATATAGTCAGCTATTTAACACCCCTAAACACACTTGCTGTTATATCCGTTAGAGCTCTTTTTCTTTTTTTTTCCCTCTCTTTTTTACAACAAATTTTACACATTTTGGATTTTATTACTCCTTAGTGCTTATTACTTTTTTTGGGGGGGGGGAGAGAATACAGTCAAATATGGCAAAACAAAGCTGTCAGTTAAAACCAAGGATAGACATAGCACATGGTGTAGAACAGAGTACAAGGTTATCAACAATGGTTATCAACATTGTCTCTTGTTTCCTTAAAAAGAATTGTCTATCTCATTAGATATTATAAAGTTGGACAAAACAGTAGAGAACAAGATCAATAAAACTTAGGCATTGTAAACATTACAGGACTTCCAAAGAAGACAATAGTCAAACCAGAATGGGCATCTTAGTGAATCTTAATTGCCTTCAAAGTAGTTGCCTATATCCTCAAACTTGATACTATCATACAGAATGGAACAGAGTCTAATCAGTCAAAACAAGATCGTGGGAGTATTACAGGACTTCAAAACAAGTTAATAGGAAATCAAAAAGAGTTACTATTTATATATCCTAATTTTTAAAATTTTTTCTTTAATTAAGACAAACATAAGAAATGACTAAATAATTTTTTTAAAAGAATAAGGGGGAGATTGAGATAAAACAGGACATAACAATATAACAATAGAGGTCAAAGCATGACTGTTTCAGCAACCTAGTACTTCACCACCATATAACCCGACTTAATAGTAGTTACCATAGTGTCTGTCTTTTTCCTTGAAATATTTGGATAAAACTTCATATACTCTAGCTTCAAATATTTCCATATCAAGAAGCCCAGGATAAAGCCTTTCTAATTAATGAGTGAAAACTTTATAAGGCTTCAAGGACACCTAATGGGGAATCATGATTACCACATATTTTTATATATTTGAATCATTACTTACATTAGGGAAACTATTCGGTATTCACACATGCGAGATTGATTTATTTCACTTATGAGTATGGTCTCAAGCTGCGCCCATTTATTGATAAATATCTCAATGTGATCCTTCTTTATAGCTGAATAATACTCCATTGTATAGAAATACCACAACTTTTTTATCCATTCCTCAGTTGATGGACACTTGGGTTGTTTCCAAGATCTGGCGAAGTAATTCAGCTTTAGATATCTTTAGGTCCTGGGGCTATGGGGGACATTTCATTGGGGTCTTCGGGAAGCAAGAAGAAGGGGACACCTTGCAAAGTGTCCCAGCAGTGAAGCGAAGGGCAGTTCACTCAGGCTTCAGGAGAGCAGGGCTGTTATGATGATGCAGGCATGCGTTGGTTTCCCTGTTTGCCTGGCACATTCTGAAAGCTTTGTCAGTTTTATCTTGATTCGTGCTTTCTAACAAGTAACTGACTGGTAAGCAAGGCTGTGTTTAAACCTGCTTTGCAGTAGCAAATAACAGAGAAGCCAGTAAGAAATTCACCTCAAATATTGAATATCTGGTGTCTGGCCCCCCAGTTTTGTTAATGCTTAGGAACCTCTGGGTCCTTGCCCCAATCCTTTCCTCCCTCAAATTTAGGAGGCCTCCTAGACCTGGGAGTTCAGGTTACAACCCCCTCAGTTTTCAGTAACCAAGTATACCAGTGTGAAAGGGTTACTTTGATATTTTTTCAGAACTGATACTAACTCGGAAGTTAAGAGAAAAATGAATATTTATTTTTAATAGGGAAGGTGCCACAGTACGACTGGCATTAGTAAAAACTCTTAATTTTATATAAAAATGTATTAAACCCTCCAAATGTATTAACCTTTGAAAGTGTTAGGGACAGTTAATAGAAATATCAAGAGTTAGCCCAAGTCCATAAGGGCCCCCAGAGTCTGAGCCACTCTCTTCTTTTGAGGCCTCAGGCTTCCAGCATTCACTTCTCCAGGTTTTCCTGGAGTATACCCTGGAACTTCAGAGTGGGAAGGGGTTCTGGATATCAGCCACAATTGCCAGTGTAGGACCTATAGATTAGGGAGACCCGGAGAGCGTGAATGGTGCAGGGAGCTTCCCAGGCACCTACTTTTAAACTCCAGCCTCTGCTGTTTTTCCTCATTCTTTCCTATCTATGTGGCTGGTACTTACTTGCTTTGCTTCTTTAAATCCCTGCCACAAATCTGTCTTCCAAGATCTGTAAAGAGGTCACCTTAAGAGACCTGTATAGTGGTGCATGCCTGTGGTTCCAGCTCACAGGAGGCTGATGCAGGAGGATTCCTGCATGTTGGAGATCTGGCCTACATAGTGACTTCAAGCTCAGCCTGAACTGCAAAAGGAGACCCTACCTCAAAAAATAAGTAAAATACTGAGGTAGGCCTCTATGTTCTGACACAGAAAGAGGCCCTGTGTACGCTCTTATTTGTGTGTTACTGGAGCTTGGCTAAGGAGCTCTGAGCTGTATTCCAAGCCCTTATTTTTAAATTTTTATTATGAGACAGAATCTCCAAAAGTTGCCCAGGCTGGCCTCAAATCACAGTGATCCTCCTGCCTCAGCCTCCTGAGTGCTGGGATTACAGTTGTGAGCCACCACGCCTAGTGAGTATGTATTTCTAGATGGTAGAAAACAGAAAATAACACAAGTTGTTCTTGACCTGGGTAATGCAAGTGAGATTTGCTCAATGGAAGTATAAATGATTCCCCTGCCCAGCTGTGAAACAACTTCCTTTCCTCATTAAAAAAGAAAAAGAGGTCACCTTAATGTGACTCTGGCCTTCCTGTTGGTTTGTTAGGGCTATCATGGAGTAAGCCTAGAAATCTAAAATCTAAGCATTTTCAGAGTTGGCTTCTTTTGAGGGTTGTGAGAGAAATCTGTTCCAGGTGTCTCTCTTGGCTTGTAGATGGCAATCTTCTCTCCATCGCTTCTTATTATGTGTGTGTATATGTGTCTTTGTGTCCAAATTTCCCCCTCTGAAATAAAAAGGACAAAGATGCAATAGGTGTTGTACTAACTCCCTATGTTGAATGTATTCATTATGTATTGCAAACATATGATAATAAAAATAAATATACTATAAAGACACGCTCATCCTTTTTTGTTTTTTTCAAAGCACATTAGCAATACAGAATTGTGAGGTTCATTTTGGCAAACTGGTACATGGTGCATTTAACATGTCATTTTTTTTTTTGGTCTTTTTGAGACAGGGTCTTGCTATGCAGTTCAGGCTGGCCTTCAACTAACTTTGTAGCCCAGGCTGGCCTTGAACTTGCAGGAATCCTCTTGCCTCAGCCTCCCAGGTGCTGGGATTACACAGGTGCGCCACCACTCCTGGTTAACATTTCTGATGTTTCTCTATTCCATTACCTTCTCTCCCTCTGCTCTCCCTTCCTTCGTTTCCAAAAGTCTACCTCCTAGTTTCCTGTCATATTCCCTATGCCCAATTTCTCATATAAGAGAAACAGTGGTACTTAGCTTTCTGAGTCAGCTTGTCTCAAATTCCATTCTTTCTTTTACAAATAGCATATTTTCATTTTTCTGTATGGCAGAATAATATTCTGCTATGCACATATATATACACCATATTTTATTCATCTAGTTGTCTGTTGGTGGCCACCTGGTCTGTTTCCACACCTTAGCTGTTGTGAATTGC